CCGACTCCAGGGCTGGAGCTACAGGCGCCAACTTTCCAATGTGCCGGGGGTGCTCGCTGCTCAAGCCCTGGCTCTACCACAGGCCCCACCCCCTCCCCTGAGCCTGCCGTTCCCCCACCCCTCTCCCCCAGAGCCTCCTGCATGCCATGAAACAGCTGATCGGGAGGTGTGGGGAGGGAGGGAGAGGTGCTGATTTGCGGGGCTGCTGGTGGGCGGGAGACGCTGGGAGCAGGTGTGGGAGAGCTGCTGGGGGCTGCTGATGTACTACTGTGGCTCTTTGGCAATGTATATTGGTAAATTCTGGCTCCTTCTCAGGCTCAGGTTGGCCAGCCCTGCAGGAGAATATTTGCCACTATAACTTCCTCTAGGTGCCACTCATTGGCATTCAACATGATGCACACACCCAGCACGTTTCCTTGTAAATCCCTGACCAGAAAGTGGGCTAACAGTGATTTTGTCCCATCCTAGGTGATGTAGGCTTGACAAAGCCCTGCCTGGGAAGATTTAGTTGGGGATTGGTCCTGCTTCGAGCAGGGGGTTGGACTAGATGACCTCCTGAGGTCCCTTCCAACCCTGGTATTCTATGATTCTATGATACACAAGACACAACATGTTTCAGCTGTAGGATTTTCCCTTCGTGGTAGTGAGGATTCTGGCAGCTGGTATCTTCCTCAGTCTGCAAGTTCTGGTCTATTCAACAAAGCAGGTCATTCTCCAATGGGAAGTGGGGGTAGTCTGCAGCCTTCCCATCCCCGCCAGCTGGAGATATGCCTCTCTCACAGAGGTGTCCACTTGTTGCTCAGCCACTATGTCAAAAATTGGCCAGAATGTGGTGTTTGGTCTACTGGTCCCTCTTGTACCCCTGTGGTAGCCACATTCTCCTTGCCCTGATCAGTGGAAGTACTTCCCCTTGTCCTCATCTGTGATGGTCATTTCATTTTCCCTTCCCTAGTGTGATTCAAATTCACCCTGGCTGTCCTGCCTTCCATTACCAGCTTCTGGACTTCCAGGGACAGAACCAAACTTTACAAAGATCTGAGTCCAGCACGGGGAGTGCAAGCATAAATCCCTCAGGTGGGCTCTCTCCTTCTTGTCTGTGTCCTGACTGTAGGGCAATAGCTGACTCTAGTAGGTCCCAGAAACGTTTCCAGTCTCATCCAATCACCATCAACCTGGGTAAGGTTCTTTAGATTTCTACCAGAATCTCCTCTTCACAATTCACCATCCACATGACTACAATAGGAGTGAGAGAAGGCTTTGCATCTCCAAGTACAAATTATATAACAGATATGTGTTTAGCAAGTGGTCTGCTAGTATCAGATCCCCTCAGACTGGTGTCTGGCTACATCCTGAGTCCACTAGGCCAGTTGTAGTTTTCCCTTCATTTTGGAGAGGCAGCAGAAATCCACTAGGTGCCTTATCTGATACACATACCATAAAGCTACAAGTCTGCTCCTGTCCTGAAAAATCTTGCTCCATTTGTAGTCAGAATTTCTTTATCTATTCAAGCCAACTGCACCAAAAGTACTTCCTGAAACCCTCAGGTTGTCAAGAGCAGGGCAAAGAATCAGGCTACTGACACCTCTCCACTCTCTGCTGCACCCTGTGTAAATGCAGCACAGAAACTGCACCATTATGTATGCATCACTCCCCTTTTATTCACTAATCCAACACACACCAGTCACAAAAAAAAAAGTTAAGGAAAACTGCAGCGGGCTATGAAAGGTATTTAAACACAATATTCAGCAGAATTACAAAGAAAAGCAGTCACTAAAAAAGCATAAAATTGTCCCTGCTGGAAGTGATCGCAGGGGTTTAGGAAACAGGAACATTACTCACAGAAACTGAAATATGAATACAATAATTATATTAAACATAATTAAGAAGCTAACATAAACTGACATTGTGAAATTGTATCATCATCGATCAGAGCTGAGAATACCATGTCACTATTAGGTCTTTCAAAGTTGTTTTTAAGTAAACTCTGAGCCTGATCCCAGTCTGACTGAAGTCAATGACAAAACTCATTGGCTTCAGTCGGAGCAGGATTGGACCCCTTTTGGTTAACTGAATAAATATAGCAACTTTGAATGTCTGTTCTAAACTGATTTAAAATTTAATTTTAATGGTATACAATACAGGCAGGGCAGAAAAGGTGGGGGAGTTGCACTGTACATAAGAGAGCAGTATGACTGCTCAGAGCTCAAGTATGAAACTGCAAAAAAACCTGAGAGTCTCTGGATTAAGTTTAGAAGCCTGAGCAACAAGGATGATGTCGTGGTGGGAGTCTGCTATAGACCACCGGACCAGCGGGATGAGGTGGATGAGGCTTTCTTCCAGCAACTAACAGAAGTTACTAGATCGCAGGCCCTGGTTCTCATGGGAGACTTCAATCACCCTGATATCTGCTGGGAGAGCAATACAGCGGTGCACAGACAATCCAGGAAGTTTTTGGAAAGTGTAGGGGACAATTTCCTGGTACAAGTGCTTGAGGAACCAACTAGGGGCAGAGCTGTTCTTGACCTGTTGCTTACAAACCAGGAAGAATTAGTAGGGGAAGCAAAAGTGGATGGAACCTGGGAGGTCGAGTTCAGGATCCTGACACAAGGAAGAAAGGAGAGCAGCAGAATACGGACCCTGGACTTCAGAAAAGCAGACTTTGACAACCTCAGGGAACTGATGGGCAGGATCCTTTGGGAGAACAACATGAGGGGGAAAGGAGTCCAGGAGAGCTGGCTGTATTTTAAAGAATCCTGATTGAGGTTACAGGAACAAACCATCCCAATGTTTAGAAAGAACAGTAAATATGGCAGGCGACCAACCTGGCTTAACAGTGAAATCCTTGCTGATCTTAAACACAAAAAAGAAGCTTACAAGAAGTGGAAGCTTGGACAAATGACCAGGGAAGAGTATAAAAATATTGCTCAGACATGCAGGAGTGAAATCAGGAAGGCCAAATCACAGTTGGAGTTGTAGCTAGCAAGAGATGTTAAGAGTAACAAGAAGGGTTTCTTCAGGTATGTTAGCAACAAGAAGAAAGTCAAGGAAAGTGTGGGCCCCTTACTGAATGAGGGAGGCAACCTCATAATAGAGGATGTGAAAAAAGCTAATGTACTCAATGCTTTTTTTGCCTATGTCTTCATGAACAAGGTCAACTCCCAGACTATTGCACTGGGCAGCACAGCATGGGGAGGAGGTGACCAGCCCTCTGTGGAGAAAGAAGTGGTTCGGGACTATGTAGAAAAGCTGGATGAGCACAAGTCCATGGGGCTGGATGCGTTGCATCCAAGAGAGCTAAAGGAGTTGGCGGATGAGATTGCAGAGCCATTGGCCATTATCTTTGAAAACTCATGGCAATCGGGGGAGGTCCCGGATGACGGGAAAAAGGCTAATGTAGTGCCCATCTTTAAAAAAGGGAAGAAGGAGGATCCTGGGAACTACAGACCAGTCAGCCTCACCACAGTCCCTGGAAAAATCATGGAGCAGGTCCTCAAGGAATCAATTCTGAAGCACTTAGAGGAGAGGAAAGTGATCAGGAACAGTCAGCATGGATTCACCAAGGGCAAGCCATGCCTGACTAATCTAATTGCCTTCTATGACGAGATAACTGGCTCTGTGGATGAGGGGAAAGCAGTGGATGTCTTATTCCTTGACTTTAGCAAAGCTTTTGATATGGTCTCCCACAGTATTCGTGCCAGCAAGTTAAAGAAGTATGGCCTGGATGAATGGACTATAAGGAGGATAGAAAGCTGGCTAGATTGTCGGGCTCAACGGGTAGTGATCAATGGCTCCATGTCTAGTTGGCAGCTGGTATCAAGTGGAGTGCCCCAAGGGTCAGTCCTGGGGCCGGTTTTGTTCAATATCTTCATAAATGATCTGGTGGATGGTGTGGATTGCACCCTCAGCAAGTTCGCAGATGACACTAAACTGGGAGGCGAGGTAGATAAGCTGGAGGGTAGGGATAGGATACAGAGGGCCCTAGACAAATTAGAGGATTGGGCCAAAAGAAATCTGATGAGGTTCAACAAGGACAAGTGCAGAGTCCTGTACTTAGGACGGAAGAATCCCATGCACTGCTACAGACTAGGGACCGAATGGCTAGGCAGCAGTTCTGCAGAAAAGGACCTAGGGGTTACAGTGGAAGAGAAGCTGGATATGAGTCAACAGTGTGCCCTTGTTGCCAAGAAGGCCAATGGCATTTTGGGCTATATAAGTAGGGGCATTGCCAGCAGATCGAGGGACGTGATTGTTCCCCTCTATTTGACATTGGTGAGGCCTCATCTGGAGTACTGTGTCCAGTTTTGGGCCCCACGCTACAAGAAGGATGTGGAAAAATTGGAAAACATCCAGTGGAGGGCAACAAAAATGATTAGGGGACTGGAACATATGACTTATAAGGAGAGGCTGAGGGAACTGGGATTGTTTATTCTGAGGAAGAGAAGAATGAGGTGGGATTTGATATCTGCGTTCAACTACCTGAAAGGAGGTTCCAAACAGGATGGATCTAGACTGTTCTCAATGGTAGCAGATGACAGAACAAGGAGTAATGATCTCAAATTGCAGTGGGGGAGGTTTAGGTTGGATATTAGGAAAAACTTTTTCACTAGAAGGGTGGTTAAGCACTGGAATGCGTTACCTAGGGAAGTGGTGGAATCTCCTTCCCTAGAAGTTTTTAAGGTAAGGCTTGACAAAGCCCTGGCTGGGATGATTTAGTTGGGGATTGGTCCTTCTTTGAGCAGGGGGTTGGACTAGATGACCTCCTGCGGTCCCTTCCAACCCTGATATTCTGTGATTCTAATTTATACATACATTCTGTCTACCTAGATAATTGTATATTACACAGACTTATCTATAACATCTAGTTCTTAAAGTACAAGAAGAAATCACTCTTGTTTCCTTGCAGGGCAGCACTCAACCAGCTTCCCTGAATAACCTCTAACCCAGACAAATGTTACAGCACAAATACCGAAGCGCTTTCAGAGAAAGGAGAGAGGGATTACCCTGCTGGAGTTGCAGTTGTGTAAATTCAATTCTGAGTTGTTCATTTTCTTTTTCAAACTCAGTGGTGAAAGCGTCTCGCTCTGCTGTGAGACTACGGACATGACCCACATAATGCTCCACCTAGAAACAAAGAGAGCAACAAGATTTCAAACTTTGGATGTGTGACTTTCATTTACAAACAAGTCATTAGCATCACTAGCTCACACAGTACCCTGAAGAAAAGGAGTACTTGTGGCGCCTTAGAGACTAACCAATTTATTTGAGCATACAGTATACACCCCAATGCACTTCTGCCGGGAAGAAATGAAACACTCACAGAGAAGTTTTCAGAGTAACAGCCGTGTTAGTCTGTATTCGCAAAAAGAAAAGGAGTACTTGTGGCACCTTAGAGACTAACCAATTTATTTGAGCATAAGCTTTCATGAGCTACAGCTCACTTCATCGGATGCAGCATCCGATGAAGTGAGCTGTAGCTCATGAAAGCTTATGCTCAAATAAATTGGTTAGTCTCTAAGGTGCCACTAGTACTCCTTTTCTTTTTACTCACAGAGAAGCATTTCTTTGTGTTCTTTAAATGTTTAAGGATTTTATGACTACAAAGGCTCTATTCATTTCTCTCTCCTGGTGGGTCACTAAAATCGACTGAAAGGCCCAACATTAGGGACGTGACGTTCCCCTGGTGTTATCTGGACTGGTGATCTGCTAGGTCACTCCAATCCTTGACTCTGGGAGCCAGCCTTACCTTGCTCTGCTGTGAGAACTCCCACTCCTGGGCTGTTCACGCACAGCCTCGAGCATGTAAGCTGCTTGGATTGTGCAACTGAATGACACTAGCCAATATCTCTAGTCCCAGACACAACCCTAGGAACCTCCATCTTGCAGTGTCCAGTTATGCCTGCTGGACGCTGCAAGCTTTTATGAGTTTGTCAATTTAACAAAGAAATTGATATGCATTAGGCTTGTTATCCCAAGGGGAGTTTCTGACATGCTCCAAACAAAATGCACTGCTTCAGGTAGAACAAACAAACAAATTTATTAACCACAAAAGATAGATTTTAAGTGATTATAAGTCAAAGCACAAGTCGGATTTGGTCAAATGAAATAAAAGCAAAACGCATTATAAGCTGATCTCAGCACTTGCAGTGTCCTTACAAACTTAGATGCTTCTCACCACAGGCTGGCTGGTTGCCCTTCAGCCAGGCTCTCCCTTCGATCAGCGCTTCAGTCGCTTGGTGGTGATGTCTGTGGACGGAGGTGGAAGAGAGAGGAAGAGGATGGCAAACATCCCTTTTATCATGTTCTTTTTTCCCCTCTTGGCTTTGCGCCCCCCCGCCCTCAGGGTCAGGTGAGCATTAACTCATCGTAGTCCCAAACTATCTAAGGGAAGGGGACTGACTCACTCGAGAGTCCAACAGATCCTTTGTTGCTGCCCAGGCCAGTGCGTTTTGTTCCTGTGAGGCTAGATTGGGTTTGTCCCATACATGGGCTGATGAGGTGTGAACTGCCCCTCTGTTCCTGGAGAGTTTTGCCTGGGCTTGTTTTAAGCCATGAGGACAAATTTCAGCCTCATAACTATATACGTGAAATTACAACCTATAACATTACTATAACAACAATGCTCAGTGCATCATGAGCCTTCCAAAGACACCCGACATGACAAACTTTGCACTGGATACCACACAATCATTTTATAAGGATAAACATGGGGATGCAGGTGTTCCTGCAAAGCAAAGAGTGTCACAAGGGAAAGGGAAATAGCCTAGGGAGGCGCACAATGGCATGGACACCAAAAAACCCAGTGTGTGCGTATGCATGCGCCTTTTTTGTGTGTATCTGTGTGCGTGTTTTAAACACACAAAAGCTTAAGTTACTAGCTAGCTAACTATGAAAAACAGGACGCAAAGAGGCAGCCAAAGGACAGAACTGATGGGGGGAGCATTGACCCTGCACTATACTCCAATCAAACTGAAGCTTTGGCAGCCAGAAGGAGTTGAAGTGGGTTTAGAGCCACCCACCAAACCCCATGTAAAAGGAGGAGATGAGGAGTGAGTGGCCCCAATGGGTGATACATTCTAGAAGATTCTGAGCATGTAGACCAGGCCATATTTGTGCCAAGAATAGGGGTCCATATGTACAATTCCCATTCAAAGCAGAATGGGGATCACCCACATATAGGGAATAAAAATAAGCCTTATAATGGAACATTGATTGCAGCCTTAACTATGGAGTTATGACCAGCTTGCTCCTCTAATTAGGCTATGTGCGAGAGGGAAAGAACCATTGATTTTCAATGCCCAGAGTGATCTGTGGGGCTGTTACAGCCATCTTGTACTTGTCAACAGAACAAACTTTTTATATGGAATTAAATGAGTCACAAACTTGGACTTTTCCACAAGTGCCATTTTCCATAGCCACTTCCTCACTTTGAAACCCGTGAGCTCAACACAAAGCTTTTTGTTTTTAATTTCTCCTATGTTAATTAAAATGGTAAAAATACCAAAACAAAGAGTTAAGATTTCCCAGGAACAGCTCCAGAATGCCAAGTTCAACATAACTCAAACTTCAGAAAACCAGCAAATACAAAGTAAAAGTATATGCCCATGTACCCTTAACTCTGTCCCCATCCTCAAGCTGGCAGCTGCCACTGGGAGTTACTTCATGCACTGCAGCTGTATTCAGTGCGAGAGCTGTAGTTGTAGTGAATGGTTTGAATGGTGGAGGTGTTGGTGGGGCAAGTTGGTAGAAGTGTGTTTTTGAGCTGAGGAGATGGGAATTCGTTTGAGGAGCACCACAGAGCTGTGACTGATTTGGGGCCCAGCCCGTATGTGCGAATAAAGGAAAGGCAGGTATGTGTATCTTGAGAATGTAGCCTGCATCATCTTATTGCAAAATTGTGTAGATTGTCTCAAGACACCTGCTCCACTCCCCTCCTGTGCCTTCCCCCAGGAATTGTTAGTAGGGTGGGATATGAGAGCAGTCCATAGGTTTAATGATGGGTAAGGGAAAGTATAGGTTTAGATGGTATCCTATGTGAATTAGTAGTTTAATTTCACAAGTGCAGTATTCTGTCAGGAGAGTAGGCTAAGTGTTTGAGTGCAAGGCAGGTGCAGGTAGCTCTTTTCCTTCACAGTGAAAAGGCAGAGACAAGCATGTGTGATATGGAACAACGCTCAAAGAGGGCAGAGTTATGATAATGTGGGCGTGTACCTTAACCCTGTATTTCCTAGTTTACAGCAATGCTTTCCTTCATCTCTTGGGTATTCAGGAAAGTGGTAACATCACAGAAATATTGCCCAAAGTTATCTATACCAAACTGTCATGTGACTCTGGACACTTAACTGGTGGTGCCACAGAGAGTAAGATAGCTAAATGCCCAAGCAACTAATTGAACTCCTGCTGCTTAAACCTATGCTGGACTTTGTAATCTTTCTAAATACATTTTGACATTATCCATTAGATCAGTAAAAAAGCACTATTATCCCTAATTTAGAGTAACTCGTATGCAATCCACGGCTAACTAGCACTGAGTGATCAGATCATTAAAATGAATCCATTTTTAATTTTATCCTGATAACAAACCATGCTCATAGAGACAAAAGGGCATCCTCTAACAATTGGAAGTCAAATACTACTGAGGAAAATAGAAAGCCGCATAAACTCTGTCAAGTCAAGTGTAAAAGTATAATTACGCAGGCCAAAAAAGAATTTGAAGAGCAACTAGCAAAAGACACAAAAACTAACAGCAAAAATTCTTTAAATACAACAGAAGCAGGAAGCCTGCCAAACAGTCAATGTGGGTGGCCACTGGACAATTGAGGTGCTAATGGGTCACTCAAAGAAGACGAGGCCATTATGGAGAAGCCAAATCAATTCTTTGGATCAGTCTTCACTGCAGTGGATTTGAGGGAGATTCCCACATCTGAGCCATTCTTTCTGGGTGACAAATCTGAGGAACTGTCCCAGACTGAGGTGTTGAAAGAGGAGATTTTGGAATGAACTGATAAATTAAACAGTAATGAATCACTAGGACTTGATGGTATTCGCCCAAGAGTTCTGAAGGAACTCAAATATGAAATTGCAGAACTAGTAAGTATGGTATGTAATCTATCATTTAAATCAGCTTCTGTAACAGATGACTAGATGATAGCTAACGTAAACACCAATTTTTTAAAAAGGAGCCAGAGGCAATCCTGGCAAATTACAGGCAAGTAAGCCTAACTTCAGTACCAGCCAAATTGGTTGAAACAATAGTGAAGAACAGAATTATCAGACACATGGCTGAACATGATTTGTTGGGAAAGGGAAATCATGCCTTCCCAATCCATTAGAATTCTTTGAGGCTGTCAACAAACATGTGGATAAGGGTGATCCAGTAGACATCGCGTATGTGGCCTTTTAGAAAACCTTTAACAAGGTCCCTCACCAAAAGCTCTTAAGCAAAGTAAGCAGTCATGGGATAAGAGAGAAGGTCCTCTCCTGGATCAGTAACTGGTTAAAAGTGAAATCATAATGGAAAGCACAAATATTCATAAAGATTACTCTAATGTCAATTAGCTCTTACCTCTCTCATTTCTTCTGCTCGCTGTTGTCTAAGGTCCTCTAAATCCTGACTAGCAGACCGTAACTTGTCTTCATTACGCAGGAATAATTGCCAAACATAACAAAGTTGTTCATCTGCAGAAGCTGAAGGGTCGATTCCTTCTTCCTTGAGCCTCTCAAGTATGTCTTCCACCTGTACTTTTTCCTGTTGGAATAAATCATCAAAATGTAACCTACTCAAACATCTAAAACATTTCCTCCTGGGAAAGATTTGTGTGGGCATAATATTTCTGAACAAGTAAAAGTTAAGTTGTAATTAATGTGCACTTAATGGCAGTGCAGAAAACAAATAAAACTAATGTGATGGAAGCATATGACTCCCAAAGGTATTTAATCATATCAAATTTGATGACTCTTGTTTGATGAGAGGGATTTGGGATGTGAGGATCCTTGCCCTTATGTTCCGTTATGGGAAGTGATACAAAAATATACCATAGAGATGACCAGACTCACGTTCCATATACTTGTTTGGATTCTATTCCAAAACTCAAGGATTTCTGTAATCACTTAATGATGGCTGATAGCAGCTCCCAGCTAATCAATTTTGGAAATTTTAAAGAAAGACAGGTGTTGCCTGATCTATTGATTGTATGTTAATCAGTATTCCCAAGTTAGCATTCTGTGGTTTGGAAGGGTTCTGCTTCAAGATCAGACCCAGCGTTACTGTGAGGACCCTGATATGCATGCGAAAGCCATTCAGAGGCCTCTTGACTTTGTAATGTTTTTTAAGACAATTAGCAAAATCACAAACACTCCAATCCAGCAAAATGGGTAGAGATAATACAGAATGGTTGAGACGTCCTGCAGCAGAGCATTTGTATACCCTCACCATCCCTTGTGGAAATCTATGATCAATGAGACAGGTGAGCCACGAGTGGTCCTACCTCTGGCATGCCAAGAAGATCCCAAGAGGGTAGGCTATTATAGGGTTACATGGCAGCCATGAATATTCATAAAGATGTCCGGCATCCTCTATCCATAGTTAAACTTCCTCACCCCAATAATGTTGAGGGTGCTCTCCTCTGATATAGTTATCATATATATGTTATTATGCCATTTACCTCAAGCTTATTAGCATATATGTCAATTGGTTGCCATCGCATTCTTGTGGTTGAACATCTGCTGATGTTCCTATCCTAAAATATCCAAAACTAGAATCAACTGGCATCCAGCAGTTACCTATCAGTTTAGTCATACTTGTTCATTACAACATTCTATCTTATGATATCTTATGATCCAGGGTTACTCCTGGTTAGCTGTTTATGCTAAGACTTATGCTAAGGCTTTTGGGCCTTATGCTTCAATCTGGCTAAGCTACTAGTCTTTGAAGACTGCAGGCTTCTTGCACTACTTATTAACTTATACCTAAGCCTCACCTAGCAAATACCTATAACTATTTGCTACAGAGACAGCTCTACATTAAAATTTGGGCAGTTGTTCAAAATGTACTTGAGCAATACCTAGTCCTGCCTTGAGTGCAGGGAGCTGGACTAGATGACCTCTCAAGGTCCCTTCCAGTTCTGTGATTCTATGAATAAACTGGGGTCACAGTCCCTTGTTAAATGGGACTGATATAAATCACTTCCATGTGTTTCGCTCAGCCTACCTTCTCCAGGTTTAGCTGCTGCAGCCCACTTGCCCGCTTCAGTCAAGGCCCACATGGGCTTTGTCTAGACTGGAAAAACCCATCCTGCTAGAAAATGTTTTAAATTAGACATTTCCTATCTAGCCCAACGTCAGGCACCATTTTGCCCTTAGCGCGAACAAGGCCAGTCTAGTCCATATGTGACGGCAGCTGTCCCTGGTTAAATGCACAGTAACCTCGAGGGGAGCAGTGAAATGGATTAAAACCTGGAGGGAACAGGGAGCGGAGAGCAGAAGAACCGGATCACTCAGCACCAGGGCTGGAGTGATGCCAAGGGGCAACGCCAGCGAAGGGCTGAACCAGCTGACAACAAAGTTATCTGCGAGACAAGGTGGGTGAGGTAATACCTTGTATTGGACCAACTTCTGCTGGGGAGAGACACACACTTTGGACCCACACAGAGCTTGGCAAGTCTGTAAGACTGATGGGCAGGCCAGGACCCCTGTAACAGGTGCTGGAAGAGCCCACAGCTCTGGGAACCCTGGAGCCGGCAGGGAGCCCAGGGTTGGCCGCAGACAGACATGGGGGCGGGGTGTGTGTGTTTGCAGGGTGATGCCAGGGCCAGAGGGCCCCACGTGCAGCTAATGCCGGGGCAGGGGTCCCGGGGGCAGTGCGATGCCAGGGCTGGGAGAGCCCGAGGGGGCCTGGGTGCAGCCAATGCCAGGGCCGGAAGGGGCGGGGTGCTGCCAGAGGCATGGGGCCCAGGGGCAGCGCGATGCCAGGGGCGGGGAAGCCCGAGGGGGCCCGGGGAGGGCAGGGTGGACCCAGGGGCAGGGGTCCCGGGGCCAGTGCGATGCCAGGGCTGGGTGAGCCCGAGGGGGCCCGGGTGCAGCCAATGCCAGGGCCGGAAGGGGCGGGGTGCTGCCGGGGGGGGCCCGGGCGAGCCCGAGGGCGCTGGGGGGGGGCCCGGGCGAGCCCGGGGGAGGGGGGGGGGGCCCGGGGCCCGGGCGAGCCCGGGGGGCGGGGGCTTGGGGGTCGGGCGAGCCCGGGGGGCGGGGGGCTTGGGGGGCGGGCGAGCCCGAGGGGGCTGGGGGGGCCCGGGGGTCGGGCGAGCCCGAGGGGGCTGGGGGGGGCCCGGGGGCGAGCCCGAGGGGCTGGGGGGGGGGGCCGCGGGCGAGCCCGAGGGGCTGGGGGCCCGGGGGTCGGGCGAGCCCGAGGGGGGCTGGGGGGGGCGGGCGAGCCCGGGGGGGCTGGGGGGGGCCCGGGGGGTCGGGCGAGCCCGAGGGGGCTGGGGGGGGCCCGGGGGGTCGGGCGAGCCCGAGGGGGCTGGGGGGGGCCCGGGGGGCGGCCCAGTGCTCTCCGTTAGCTGGGCTCCCACGGGGAAAGGCCTGAGGGCCGCACCGCGGAGGGGCCCCCGGGCCCGGCTGCGGGCTCGTGGCGGCCGGGGCCAGTCGCTGTCACTCACCCGCGCGGGCTCCTCCATGCGGCGGGGGCGGGAGGCAGCCGGGGCCGCTCGGGCCCCTGGAACAGCGCTAGGGACAGCGGGGGGCGGGGCTACGGGAGTCATGGCAACGGGACCTTCTCTTCTGCTACAGCCGGGAAACTCTGTGTCTGAGCGGCGGGAGTCATGGCAACGGGCCGAACCATTCTCAGCCTGCGGGGGTCAAGATCGTCCCGCCTCCTGTCTGCCACACTCAGCTGGCCCCGCCCCCTGCTTTTGGCTCCAGCCTCCACCCCCCCCCCGCGTGTCGGGGCTGCAGCCCAGCCCCCTGGGTCAGACGGCCCCTCCCCCCCATAGCTCTGCTGCGGATGCGCTGCCCCGTCCCATGCCCCCTGGGCATTTGGTCCCAGTCCCCAGCTCAGCCTCCTTCACTCTGAGGGTCGCGCAGCTCCTAGGGACACCCACGTAGCCCTTCTCTGCCAGCACAGGAGCAGGAGGCGGTTCCCTTTGAGTAATAAGGCCCCAGCCAGGAATGGGTTGCATTGTGCTGTGTTTACAGGAAGTAACTAATTTATTTTTTAAATCATATAATTTGAAACAATCCAGCTGTTCACAAAGTAACAGCTGTAGCCCCCGGGGCACTGGAGCACTTAGTTGAGTGGGGCACTGAGAGCCATTGAACCAAATTGTAAACGCTGTATATGATGGAAACCGCTTCAAGCCGGGGGTGCGGCTGCACGTCCTGTACGCCCGAGTTCCAGCATCTATGGTAGCCCCATGGTCTCAGTGTCCCCCTCATCCTGCCTTCCATGCTCACCAGCAACCACACACCACACCACACAACCACTGACCCAGGGACCTATCCTTGCAACGAAGCCCGTTGCCAGCTCTGCCCACATATCTATTCAGGGGACACCATCACAGGGCCTAATCACATCAGCCACAGTGTCAGAGGCTCGTTCACCTGCACATCCACCAATGTGAGATATGCCATCATGTGCCAGCAATGCCCCTCTGCCATGTACATTGTGGCCAAGCCGGACAGTCTCTACATAAAAGAATAAATGGACACAAATCAGATGTCAAGAATTATAACATTCATAAACCAGTCAGAGAACACTTCAATCTCTCTGGTCACTCGATTACAGACCTAAAAGTGGCAATTCTTCAACAAAAAAACTTCAAAAACAGACTCCAACGAGAGACTGCTGAATTGGAATTAATTTGCAAACTGGATACAATTAACTTAGGCTTGAATAGAGACTGGGAGTGGATGAGTTATTACACAAAGTAAAACTATTTCCCCATGTTTATTCCTCGCCCTCCCCCTCCCCCCCCCCCGACGTTCTTGTTAACTGCTGGAAATGGCCCACCTTGATTATCACTACAAAAGGTTTTCTTCCCCCGCCGACCCGCCTCCCCGCTGTCCTGCTGGTAATAGCTCATCTTAAGTGATCACTCTCCTTACAGTGTGTATGATAACACCCATTTTTTCATGTTCTGTGTGTATATAAATCTCCTCACTGTATTTTCCACTGAATGCATCCGATGAAGTGAGCTGTAGCTCACGAAAGCTTATGCTCAAATAAATTGGTTACTCTCTAAGGTGCCACAAGTACTCCTATTATCTCTATTGTTTTTTACATCCTTTGTTGCATCAGATTTCAAAGCAGACTGACATATCTTTGTGGCAGGCCTTGCAGAATTATAGTATCTTTTAAAGTTTACCAACCTCCACCTATGCTCTTGGATTCAAATACTTCCTCACATTATACCTTACTCACTGGGGTCCTAATTCTATGCCCATTGAAGTAAATGGGAAATTTTTGACAGGTTTCAGAGGAATAGCCGTGTTAGTCTGTATTTGCAAAAAGAAAAGGAGTACTTGTGGCACCTTAGAGACTAACCAATTTATTTGAGCATGAGCTTTCGTGAGCTACAGCTCACTTCATCAGATGTATACCGTGGAAACTGCAGCAGACTTTATATATACACAGAGAATATGAAACAATACCTCCTCCCACCCCACTGTCCTGCTGGTAATAGCTTATCTAAAGTGATCATCAGGTGGGCCATTTCCAGCACAAATCCAGGTTTTCTCACCCTCCACCCCCCCACACAAATTCACTCTCCTGCTGGTGCTAGCCCATCCAAAGTGACAACTCTTTACATAATCAAGTCGGGCTATTTCCTGCACCAATCCAGGTTTTTTCACATCCCCCCCCCACCCCCATACACACACAAACTCACTCTCCTGCTGGTAATAGCTCATCTAAACTGACCACTCTCCAAGTTTAAATCCAAGTTAAACCAGAACATCTGGGGGGGGGGGGTGTAGGAAAAAACAAGAGGAAACAGGCTACCTTGCATAATGACTTAGCCACTCCCAGTCTCTATTTAAGCCTAAATTAATAGTATCCAATTTGCAAATGAATTCCAATTCAGCAGTTTCTCGCTGGAGTCTGGATTTGAAGTTTTTTTCTTTTAAGATAGCGACCTTCATGTCTGTGATTGCGTGACCAGAGAGATTGAAGTGTTCTCCGACTGGTTTATGAATGTTATAATTCTTGACATCTGATTTGTGTCCATTTATTCTTTTACATAGAGACTGTCCAGTTTGACCAATGTACACCTGATCAAGATCCTCTACAGCAAACAGGGAAAGATTAAGAATGAGCTCTCAAAAATGGATACTCTCATAAAAAACCAACCTTCCACACAAACTTCCTCGTGGCTGGATTTTACTAAAACTAGACAAGCCATTTAGAACGCACACTTTGCTTCTCTACAAAAGAAAAAGGACACTAAACTTTCTAAACTACTACATGCTACAAGGGGCCACAGCAATGGTTCCCTCAACCCACCTAGCAATATTGTTAACCTATCCAACTATACTCTCAGCCCAGCAGAAGCAGCTGTTCTATCTCGGGGCCTCTCCTTCTGCCCCTCCACCCCCACGAACATGGTACAGTTCTGTGGTGACCTGGAATCCTATTTTCGACGTCTCCGACTCAAGGAATATTTCCAAAATACCTCTGAACAACATACTAATCCACAGAGGTCTCCCTACCAACACTACAGAAAGAGGGATTCTAGATGGACTCCTCCTGAAGGTCGAAACAGCAGACTGGACTTCTACATAGAGTGCTTCCGCCGACGTGCACGGGCTGAAATTGTGGAAAAGCAGCATCACTTGCCCCATAACCTCAGCCATGCGGAACGCAATGCCATCCACAGCCTCAGAAACAACTCTGACATCATAATCAAAAAGGCTGACAAAGGAGATGCTGTTGTCATCATGAATAGGTCGGAATATGAACAAGAGGCTGCTCGGCAGCTCTCCAACACGAGTTTCTACAAGCCATTACCCTATGATCCCACTGAGAGTTACCAAAAGCAACTACAGCATTTGCTCAAGAAACTTCCTGAAAAAGCACAAGATCAAATCCGCACAGACACACCCCTGGAACCCTGACCTGGGATATTCTATCTACTACCCAAGATCCATAAACCTGGAAATCCTGGGCGCCCCATCATCTCAGGCATTGGCACCCTGACAGCAGGATTGTCTGGCTATGTAGACTCCCTCCTCAGGCCCTACGCTACCAGCACTCCCAGCTACCTTTGAGACACCACTGACTTCCTGAGGAAACTTCAATCCATCGGTGATCTTCCTGATAACACCATCCTGGCTACTATGGATGTAGAAGCCCTCTACACCAACATTCCACACAAAGATGGACTACAAGCCGTCAAGAACACTATCCCCGATAATGTCACGGCTAACCTGGTGGCTGAACTTTGTGACTTTGTCCTTACCCATAACTATTTCACATTTGGGGACAATGTATACCTTCAGATCAGCGGCACTGCTATGGGTACCCGCATGGCCCCACAGTATGCCAACATTTTTATGGCTGATTTAGAAGAACGCTTCCTCAGCTCTCGTCCCCTAAAGCCCCTACTCTACTTGCGCTATATTGATGACATCTTCATCATCTGGACCCATGGAAAAGAAGCCCTTGAGGAATTCCACCATGATTTCAACAATTTCCATCCCACCACCAACCTCAGCCTGGTCCAGTCCACACAAGAGATCCACTTCCTGGACACTATAGTGCTAATAAACAATGGCCACATAAACACCACCCTATACCGGAAACCTACTGACCGCTATTCCTACCTGCATGCCTCCAGCTTTCACCCTGACCACACCACACGATCCATCGTCTACAGCCAAGCTCTGCGATACAACCGCATTTGCTCCAACCCCTCAGACAGAGACAAACACCTACAAGATCTCTGTCAAGCTTTCTTACAACTACAATACCCACCTGCGGAAGTAAAGAAACAGATTGATAGAGCCAGAAGTGTTCCCAGAAGTTACCTACTACAGGACAGGCCTAACAAAGAAAATAACAGAACGCCACTAGTGGTCACCTTCAGCCCCCAACTAAAACCCCTCCAACGCATTATTAAGGATCTACAACCTATCCTAAAGGATGACCCAACACTCTCACAAGTCTTGGGAGACAGGCCAGTCCTTGCCTACAGACAGCCCCGCAACCTGAAGCAAATACTCACCAACAACCACATACCACACAACAGAACCACTAACCCAGGAACTTATCCTTGCAACAAAGCCCGTTGCCAATTGTGCCCACATATCTATTCAGGGGACACCATCACAGGGCCTAATAACATCAGCCACACTATCAGAGGCTCGTTCACCTGCACATCCACCAATGTGATATATGCCATCATGTGCCAGCAATGCCCCTCTGCCATGTACATTGGTCAAACTGGACAGTCTCTACGTAAAAGAATAAATGGACACAAATCAGATGTCAAGAATTATAACATTCATAAACCAGTCGGAGAACACTTCAATCTCTCTGGTCACACAATCACAGACATGAAGGTCGCTATCTTAAAAGAAAAAAACTTCAAATCCAGACTCCAGCGAGAAACTGCTGAATTGGAATTCATTTGCAAATTGGACACTATTAATTTAGGCTTAAATAGAGACTGGGAGTGGCTAAGTCATTATGCAAGGTAGCCTGTTTCCTCTTGTTTTTTCCTACCCCCCCCCCCCAGATGTTCTGGTTTAACTTGGATTTAAACTTGGAGA